ACCGCCTGATATTGTCTTTGTTGCCCCTAATAGTGGGGCCGCCTCCTGAGAAGCCGCCTGCAATGGTGTAGACGACTGCATCATCTGTATCGGAGCTGTCGGCCTGTTGATTCTTTTTGGCCGACTGCTTTTTTGAGGAAGTGTTCCCCCTAGATTTCTTGACATAAGTGTCAAGATCACCTTGCTCAGCCAGGCGGTCCAGATACCGCATGAGACTGATGCAGTCATTGGTGTGATGACCAACATCATCATGATAAGCACAGAATTTATCTTGGTTCCGGTTGTTTGCAGAACCCTTCATGGGGACCGGCTTCTCAATTGAGATTCGTCCCTTGATTTCTTTTAGGATAAACTGGTTATCTTTGTTAAACGCATACTTTGGGGAGTATGATTTGAATTCTTTTTTCTTTTTCTGGGCCGGCTGTTTAGAGGAATCAGCCGCCCAGACCTCTTTTCTCTTCTCATCTTTGTTTGACGACTGTTTCTGTCGTCCTTCTCTTTTGTCGAACCTTTTCCCGTCTGACTGTTTTACCGTACAAAGATCAGTCGCCTGTATATAGGCTTCTGCTTCAATCAAGGCCTCTTGAAGAGTCGCCACCCTCTTTCAAACCAAATCAAATTTGAAGGTAGACCCGTCTTTGAGACCTCTGAAAAAGTCAGTATAGGCTACCTCATCCGGTAACCCTTGAATCTGTATTCTCATCAGGTTAAACCGCCTGATGTAAGAACGAAGCCCCTCCTTCTCGCCCTGCTGAATTGTTCCTAAATCAAGGGTCGTTTTCTTCGCAGGGATGTTCATGGCGAAGTTGGAGGTGAATAAGTAAGCAAGCGTCATGAAGCTATTTACACAACCAGTCGGCAGGTTGCCGAACCATTGTTGTGCGATTCCTTTGAGAGTTGCTGGGAAACACTTGCACCAAGTGGGATCATCTAACCCTTGAAGGTACATCAGGTTGGTGAATGCCATCAGATGGTCTTCTGGGTTAGTAGTGCCGTCATAGGCGCCTACTAGTACATTTTTCACTTTGGCCGGCTGAGCGGCTTCAGTAATTTCCTTGGAGAAGGCCGACGACTGTTCACCAAGTCTAAGCAACCGCAGCTGCCAGTCCATAGGTTTGACGGTTTTTGCTGTAGGTCCACCAAACGGAGGTGGCTGCAAAAAATACTGTTGTTGCGGCACAAATGGTAAGTTTGGTACCGCCTGGTCGCTATGAAAGCCGGACTGACGGGAGGTGCCGCCTGACTGACTCTCATGATACGACTGAGTATGCCTCATCGAGGCATTTCGCAGACTGTCTTGAAAGTTTGAAGTAGAGGCCGACTCTGACAATCGGTCACTCTTCTTCTGCTCTAGCAGTAGCCGAGCGTCTGTGAATGTTTGCTTCGACCCGTCCGCCTGAATATGGCGAACAGGTTTCCTATTTCCTGTAGGAAAACGGAATTTTGTGAAATCAAGGGCAGGTGGCTCCCGCTTCCTAGATTTAGGATGAGGAGTCGCCTCTCGCCCTTGAACTGGCTTCCTCTTCAGTGAAGTGGTGGGTTTCTTAGCCGACTGCTCCTTGACTGGAGCAGGCGGCTTCTTGTTGATCAACTCTTGAATCTCTCCCTTGAAGTTCCTCATGAAGGTCATGAGTTCGTTCCTTGTGATGGGAGCAGACCCATCAGTCGGCTGTTGCCGAACAGGCGGTGCGCCTGCTGGCTCACTTCCAGTTTGAAGATGTTCCCGTTCCCTCCTTTCGGTATGACGGGTACGTCGGGCCCTTAGGGTCCCGTCTGAAGCTGTGTGAGCTTCAACTTCAAATTCACTCTCGGTATCATGGTCCGACTGAACTTGAGGGTCGTCTAGGGGACGCCTCTCTTCAGGAGTCGGTACAGACTTGGATGCCATCTCAGAAGTACTCTCCCCACAGACGGCGCCAGATGTTTCGGGGTTTTCTGATGTCCTGCGGGAGAGTTACAATTCCGAGACTGGAACCGGACGCCTGTACCTGCAAAATAACGGAGACTCCTGGTGGTGGGAGCTCCGCCTCCAACGGTCAAGTTAGTACTTGATTAAGGAGTAATTAATGCGGAAATTAAAGTGATTGGGTCTCTCTAGGTGAGAGTGTTTAATGTAGGTAATATGCTTTGTTAGCGAGATCAGCCGGTTATTACTGTGTGTAATTAATGTGTTTTTTCGTAATCCCCCTTAATGAGGATTAAGGGAGTTATTTATAACCTTGGGAAACGTGCCCATCCTAGGTTTAGGTTAACCTAGGGCTGATTGGGCTTCCCTCGGAAGTTGGGCCTGGGTGGCTGGTTTCTCCATTAGGCATGGAGTATGCCACATGTCATGACATAATAGGTCCAAGGTGGACAAATAAGCGCGTGCCACGTGGCAAGCCCTGACAGTGCCAACTGGGGGACACTTGGCAGGACCTGATTGGCCCACGTGGCGCATTCCGATTGGTGGGAGCAAAATCCCCTAATCAATTATTATTATTATTATTATTATTATTATTATTATTATTATTATTATTATTATTTATTTTATTTTATTTTATTTTATTTTATTTTAAACGTGAGGAGAAACATTTGGATGGAAAGCCTTGTTAAGAGGTGGCGGCGATGTGTGGCAACTGGCAAGGCAACAATTCTTTGTCCTGGGATTTAAGAATAGTATAGATACATAGAAGGATTGAGTTAATATGATAATTATACTCCCTCCATTTTATAATAATCACAGTACTTTGATCGTCATATATGTCAATGCACAACTTTAACCATTAATATTTATAATTATATATTATTAAGAAATACAAAAGGTTAATATAATGAAAATATACTTAAAGACTAATCTAAAAATATTTTACATGACAATATATGTTTTTATGTATTGGTAAAATGTATAGTCAAAGTGAGCATATAAATATTGCAAAAGTCAAAGTGTTGCGATTATTACGAAATGGAGAGAGTTTATGAAATTCTAAATGGAAGGTGTAAAACGTACTAATGTCAATGTGATTTAGTTGATTTAGTTCTCCTCTGTATACTAGTCCCATTTCTCAACAAGGTATCACTAATTAATTTGTGTGAAAAGCAGAAGAAATTATTGTGGTTGTAGGGTTGCAAAAAATGACACAATACAAAGATTGGTTGATTTTATTAATGACTAGTTTAAAATGAAAGGGGCTTAGGGTAATAAGAATGGAACAAACCTTCAAGGGATTTGTTTACTTGCCATATCATCATCATCATCACACAAATCTCTCACCCAAGTACCCACACAAAGCTATTCGCATTTAGCAACAATAGATAAACCTGTTCAAAAGTTTATGCATAGAACCCACTATCCATACAACTTATTAAATTAATCAAAACAAAAAATAAAGAAAATTCATCAAGTGGGTTCGACTAATCCACTTGGCAACTTGTATAGCATTTGCAAGCAAAATGCAAACCAGTTTGTAAAAACAAACCTCTCCCCATAAACCTTTGTTTGTAAGAGTGAGGGATAGCTCAGGTGGTTAAAGCTCCCCTCCTGATTTCAGAAAATTTTGGGATCAATTCTCATAACCTGCCCTTGAGATAACTCTCTAAACACCAAAAACAAACCTTTGTTTGTCAAAAAAAGGTTTGTTGACAAATCCTTAAAAAGTTGCCTCAAACCCATCAAAAAAACTTTCTATTGCTGATGCCGTGCAAGAAATGTGAACGAAACGAAAAGAAGACTTGATCTCTATAAGAAGTGGGTCTTAGAAAACAACAATGTGGCTAATGAGAATGTAAGATCTAGTCGCATGTAATACCAATAGAATAGTACTCGTATTCCACCAGTTTTATATGCTAATTATTCTCCCTTTTGGGATAGATAGTCCTAATTCATATATGTATTCGCTATGTTTAGCTCAACTTATTTAACATAGATCATATAAGATCAAATTAGATCTCATTTAATCTCTTGGAATTTTTGCCAAACACCTACCATTTAAATGACCACTCTTTAACAACTACCAATTAAATTTTTTTTTGAAAAAAAACTACCACAAAAATACAAAAGTTTGAGTAACACTATCACTTTTGTTTTCCGACAAAAATTTCCAGTTAAGGAGATCCAATTTATAAAATTTCCGTCCAAAAAAACTCATATGGAATGACGAAATTGCGCCTACATTAACCTTATATTGGGTAATACAATTCAGTTGCACCTAATCCCCTATTTCGCAAAATCCTATAGTCCTAATCTCTTTATCTGCATTTACTTATCATAAAATTATCAAATTACAAATTAAAAAAAATCATGAAAATTTCACATTTGCAAAGTAGGATTTTTATTGCAAAAGTATGGATGTTTTCACAGCAGTCGTTTGAAATATGACTATCATATTACTTTGATGATAAACAATATGATCGGTTCATTTTTTTTTTTACATTATAATATGGACACAATTAGTCTTCTAATATAAAATATAAATTTTGGAAATTTTAATCTAACATAAAATTAATATTTTTCGAGAAACTATAAAATAAAAATAAAAGTATAAATAACATAAATGAAACTAAAAATGTGTTACATAAAAAAAATATTGATTATATTATTTCATACCAAAAATTAAGTAATATAATTTATTATTTAAAGAAAAAAATGTCAATTATAAACTATATAATCATTAAAAAATAATTATTATCATATTTCAAACTACCACAATAAAACTTTCAACATTATTAGGAATGTAATGCCATAATTTAATCATATTTTTGCTTTGTCAAACATGTATAGCTCGCTGTATACTTGTGCGTGTATAGTTTGATTTGCCTTGACAAACTTGTATAGCTCTTTGCATTCTTATGTGTACTTTTATTTGCCCTGACAAACTTGAATAGTTCGTGGTATACTTTTATTTGCCTTTGACAAACTTTTATAGTTCGTTGTATAATTTTATTTGACTTTGACAAAGACATAATCTATCATTAGAAAATGATTATATAAACCCATATTGTTAACCATATAAGTCACACTTAACCAAAACATATATCTTTTATTAGCCATTGGCACAAATTTTTGTTAGCAAACAACATGCATGCTTATACTTTGCCAAATATCATCCTAGCTCTTTTGCTAGCATTCTCCTCTTTCTTAGAATCCCCTAATTCGATCTCAGTTGAGGCTCGAAAACTATCTACTTCTGATGGTGTCTTTAAGGTCGAACTTATCCATCGCAATTCACCACTTTCACCTTACTACAAGAGAGAACTCCAAGGCTTTGAAAGTGATAACAAAAGCGATGCAACATCGTATGCTTTAAAAGGTAATAATGGTGGACAATACTTCATGAAAATTGCCCTTGGTACCCCAAAAGTCGAATTTTTAGCCGTGGCAGACACGGGAAGTGACCTTATTTGGGTCCAATGTGCACCTTGTAAGACCTGCTTCTCGCAAAAATCTCCACTCTTCGACCCAACAAAATCTTCAACCTATCATACAATCCCTTGCACTTCTCCGAATTGCACCCCTCCAGATCTTACTACTAGTTGTTCTCCGTATAATACTTCAAATAATAACAATAACAATAACAACAAGTCATCAAAGTCGTGTTTTTATCAGAGTATTTACGGTGATACAAGACAAAGTAGTGGCATCCTAGCCACGGAAACCATTAGCTTACCAACCCCTCATCCTACCTCTATTAGCCTTTCTTCCGGCATTTTCGGTTGTGGCACGGACCAACAAGGCCCATACAACAGCCCACTAGAGGGGTTTGTTGGGCTAGGAGCGGGCCCATCTTCCTTAGTCTCCCAACTCGGCCCAAAAATCAACTACAAGTTCTCCTACTGCTTGGCTCCCTTGACTTCCGGGGTCTCAAGCAAGCTTACCTTTGGAGCCGATATAACCGGTCCTAAAGTAGTGTCTACTCCCTTCCAAATTGGATTAGCGGGAACACAACCCACATTTTACAACCTTACTCTCAATGGCATTAGTGTCGGGGATATAAATAACTCGGTCCAACTCAACTCGGGGTTGGGCATAATCATCGACTCTGGTACCACTCTTACAATGCTTCCAACTAATACCTACACCAGTTTAAAGTATTCTTTGAAAAGTGCCATCGGACTTAACACGATACCGAGCCCTTTGGAAGATTATGACCTCTGTTATAATACAAGCTCGACATCAGGGCAGCAGTTTAGCCCTCCAGACGTGATATTCCTATTTCAAGGGGCTGAAGTTGTGTTAAAGGCATTCAATACTTTTCGCGAAATTGAGGATGGTGTGAGTTGCTTGGCAATGATGGCTACCGATGGTACTCCCATATTTGGGAACATTGCTCAAGTTAATTTCGAAATTGGGTATGATTTAAAAGCTAAGCAAGTTTCTTTTGCTCCAACAGACTGTACTAAGTACTAACTAGATCTCATTCATTTATTTTATATGAGTATGTTTTTATAATTTGCTTGATCATAATTTTTCATTCTTAATTTATTTTGCCCCTAATATTTAGCTATTTAATTGTGATAAGTTTGTATTATTTGCTATTTATACTTGTAACTATCGAGTTCCTGTATCAAGAAGCTTTGCTCAATAAAATTGTACTTATTTTTATTTTTATTTTAATTTTTTTTTTTTTTTTTTGAACGGGCAATAAAATTGTACTTCGTAGTATGTACTTTTGCCTTATATATGTGCTGGTAGAAAAGTTTCTTATGAAAAGTTTCTGTATTAAGGCGATTACCCTCTTAAGAGTCTTAACTCTTAAATGCAAACTCTACGATACTCAAGTGTTGTCATTCTTGGCTATTAAGTTTTTTGTTCGACAAGAATTTTTTCCACAATAATTTTAACTAGAGAAATGCTCTTAGTAGCTACGACAATATATATGTTATATATTTAATATCATGAGTAACATTACAACTCCCTTAATCCTTTTACAACATTTGTCGTATGCACAATATTATAGCAAATGTTCATGGACTATTAAGTCACAAAGTGCATCAATACATTGAACTCTTGATCTTTCTTATCTTATTCAAGTAATACTTATACAGAATATATTTAATTAGCCAATATGGCTAAGCAAATGTCTTGGATGGAAGAAATCCATGTTGAAGGGAAGCTTCCCATATCTTGTCAATGTCGAAAAGTGTTGATAAGTATATTAGGTGACTCGTACTTCGTAGCTTTGTCCGCCCGATCGGGCGGACATTGCCCGGTCTGACCGGGCGGAAGAAGAAGAGGTGCCTGGCAAATTCGTTGAAGAAGCTGCTCTCGCGCCCGACCGGGCGAGCCTTCGCCCGACCGGGCGAGCCTTCGCCCGATCGGGCAGACCTTGCCCGGTCTGACCGGGCGGTGGGGGTTGGATACGTTGAAGCATTCGTATGGAGTCTTCTTCTCGCGCCCGATCGGGCAGACCTTGCCCGGTCTGACCGGGCGGAGAAGGAAAAATACGGAACGCGGATTTTGCGGTTTTAGGTTATCTTATTTTATTATCTTTTTGCCCAAGTATCTTTTAATTAGGGATTAATATAAAACCTCCCTAATATCAGTATTAGGGTGAAGAGAGACAGAGTGAGAGCCGTTCTTGAGAAATACAAGAATCATCTTTGTAATCTTTGCAGTTTATAGTGAAATCATTCGATCTCGGTGCCCGTGGACGTAGCTATCACATCGATAGTGAACCACGTAAATTCTTGGTGTTGTTCTTATTGTTTGCATTGAATTTCTTTATTGTTTTCTTGTTTGTTTTCGACCTTTGCTTCCGCTGTCGCACAACAATTGGTATCAAGAGCTCAGGTTCAATCCTTGGAGAGTTTCTTGAAGATAACAATGGCAGGAGATTCAACAATAAGAATTGAGAAGTTTACCGGGAAAAATAGTTTCGGGCTATGGCAAATTAAGATGAAGGCTCTGTTAAAACAACAGCAGATATGGCGTCCGTTGGCTCCAAAGAGTACTACTTCGGAGTCAGGAGACGGACCGACTGACTCGCAGTTAGAAGTTATGGAAGAGAAGGCACACTCTACCATATTACTTAGTCTTGATGATCAAATCATCACGGAGGTTGCTGATCAGGAAACGGCGGCTGGATTGTGGCTGAAGCTGGAGTCATTGTATATGACTAAGTCGTTGACCAACAAATTATTACTGAAACAGCGGTTGTTTAGCCTCCGGATGCAGTCAGGTACTTCCTTACGGGAACATCTAGAAAAACTTAACTCTATTTTGCTTGATTTACGTAATTTAGATGTTAAAATTGATGATGAGGATGCTGCGTTGATTTTACTTGTATCTCTACCGTCTAGCTTTGAGAATTTTGTAGAGTCTTTTGTTGTTGGTAAGGATTCTATAACCTTAGAAGAAGTGAAGGCAGCACTTCATACTAGGGAACTCAGAATGAAAGCTACGAGTGATAATGGGGATAATGGTAGTGGGTTATTTGTTAAGTCCGGAAAGTCTAAAAAGAATAAGGGGTTTAACAAGGGGAACAATGCTGGGTCGGGTGCTGGAAACGGCAAGGATGGATCTAGTAAAACTACTACTAAAACATGTTATTACTGTAAAGAACCGGGTCACTTTAGGAATAATTGTCCGGTGAGGAAAAACAAGTCCCAGGCTGCTGTAGTTGAAGAGAAACCGAATGAGAGCTATAATTCAGAGGAAGATTTAGCATTAGTCAGTTCTGCTAGGTCTGATGATTTATCTGATAACTGGGTTCTAGATTCGGGGTGTTCGTTCCATATGTGTCCACGTCGAGATTGGTTTGATACATATGAACCTCGCAATGGGGGTATGGTTATAGTCGGTAACAATGCTCCATGTAAGGTCACAGGTATTGGTTCCATGAGGTTGAGGACTGTTGATGGGCGGAGGTTAACTTTGACTAATGTACGGCATGTTCCTGCTTTAGGAAAGAATCTGATTTCATTGGGTACCCTGGATGAATTGGGGTACAATGGTGTGTTTTCAGATGGGGAGTTGTGTATTTTCAGAGGTTCTGAGTTGGTACTTAAGGGTATCAAAAGGAACACCCTCTATGTTTTTGAGGGTGTTACACTGCCTAGTTCTGCGGTTTGCGCATCTGTATCTCACCAGGAGATGACTAAGATTTGGCACATGAGGCTTGGTCATATGGGGGAGAAGGGGATGCAGCTATTGTCCAAGAGGGGTCTTCTATCCGGGGTCAAGGTTGCCAACCTTGAATTTTGTGAGCATTGTGTGTTTGGTAAGAAACACAGGTCAAAGTTCAGCAAGGGTGCTCACATTACTGATGCAGTGCTCGATTACATCCATTCAGATTGCTGGGGTCCATCTAGAGTTGAAGGTATGGGAGGTTACCACTATTTTGTGTCATTTGTTGATGACAAGTCCCGATACACATGGCTTAGGTTGCTTAAGTCAAAGGATGAGGCCTTCAAAGTTTTCAAGCAATGGAAAGCTTTGGTGGAAAATCGACAAGGAAGGAAGATCAAGAAGCTACGAACGGACAATGGGCTAGAGTTTTGCAAAGACGAGTTTAATCAGTTCTGTGCAGATGAGGGTATAGGTCGGCATCATACTGTCAGGAAGACACCACAGCAGAACGGTGTAGCAGAACGGGTTAATCAGACACTGCTAGAGAGAGTTCGATGCATGCTCTCTAATGCAGGGCTTGGGAGGAGGTACTGGAGTGAAGCTGTGTTAACAGCTTGTTATGTCATTAATAGGGGTCCTCATTCTGGAATTGATTCCAAAATTCCGTTTGAGATCTGGAGTGGTAAGTTGCCTAATTTTTCGAATTTGAAGATTTTTGGTTGTGTTGCTTATTATCATGTTATTGAGGGTAAGCTGGATCCACGAGCCAAGAAGGGGTGTTTTGTTGGGTACGGGGATGGTGTGAAGGGGTTTAGAATTTTTTCACCTTCGGAGGGTCGGGTCATTCTTAGTAGGGATGTTACTTTCGATGAAAACACCATGTATTCAATTAAAAATGCAGAGATTTCAGATTTGAGAAGGGAAGGAGACAATTTATTACAGACAGATGGGGTACTTGAGGTACATCAGTCTACCATTGCTGATTTACCTCGGGTACAATATATTGATGATGATGCTGATGTTCCAGTGCCGGGTACTCCTGAACCTGAGATTACTCCTACTCATTCTAACTCTGGGGATGAGGTGGAGCAATCTAATCAGGGGTCATCTAGTCAACCTGACACCATTCTTGAGATGCCTAAACGAGTTATCAAGAAGCCTGTTAGATTGATTGAAGAGATGGAGGGAAGAAATTGCTGTGTTGATGCGATGACAGGTTATGCATTGAGTGTAGCTGATGATGTAGAGTCATTTGAACCTGCCACATATAAACAAGCAATTAGTTGTAGTGAGTCTGCGCAATGGCTTGCCGCAATGGGTGAAGAGATGCAGTCCCTTTACAAGAACAGAGTGTGGGAACTGGTAAAGGTACCGGAAGGGAGGAAGCTTGTGGGTTGTAAATGGATTTACAAGAAGAAAGAAGGGTTGTCGGAAACTGAGCAAATACGTTTTAAGGCTAGGCTAGTTGCTAAGGGGTTCAGTCAGGTAGAAGGGGTTGACTTTGTTGAGATATTCTCACCTGTGGTTCGACATACTTCTATCCGTGTGTTATTGTCAATTGTAGCACATTTTGATCTTGAGCTGGAGCAGTTGGATGTTAAAACGGCCTTCCTTCATGGCGATTTGGAGGAGGAGATTCTGATGAAGCAGCCCGAAGGATTCGAAGCTCCTGGAAAGGAACACTATGCCTGCAGATTGCTAAAGTCATTGTATGGACTTAAGCAATCCCCCCGACAGTGGTACAAAAGGTTTGATTCTTTTATGGTTTCACAAGGTTTTGACAGGAATTCATATGATTGCTGTGTGTATCATAGTAAGCTGGATAATGGTTCCATGATTTATCTTTTGTTATATGTTGATGACATGTTGGTTGCCACAAAGAATAAATCTGATATTGCTAGATTAAAGGAGATGCTTAACTCGGAGTTTGACATGAAAGACTTGGGTGCAGCTAGGAAGATTTTGGGTATGGAGATCTACAGGGATCGGGCTAGAGGTAAGCTTTTCTTGACTCAGAAAAGCTACATTGAAAAGATTTTGTCTCGTTTTGGGATGGAAAAATCGAAGCCTATAAGTACGCCAACTACTGTTAGTTGTAAGTTGTCTTTGTCTATGTCACCTCAATCAGAGGAGGAGTTGTCTTATATGTCTAGAGTTCCATATGCAAACGCGGTTGGTTGTTTGATGTATGCTATGGTCTGTACTAGGCCGGATATTGCGCATGCTGTTAGTGTTGTAAGCAGGTTTATGGCTCGACCTGGGAGGGAACACTGGCAAGGGGTGAAAAGGATTTTTCGCTACCTGAGAGGGACAGCTGATATTGGTCTTGTGTACGGGAATGGTAAGGAATGCTTGGTCACTGGGTACAGTGATTCTGATTATGCAGCTGATGTGGATACCAGGAGGTCTGTGACTGGTTATGTGTTCACTTTGGGTGGTTCTGTGGTTAGTTGGAAGTCTACATTGCAGTCATCAGTTACGTTGTCAACTACTGAAGCTGAGTATATGGCTCTAACTTCTGCAGCTAAGGAGTCTATTCGGCTCAAAGGCCTAGTAGGTGAACTGGGTATTGCACAGGATTTTGCTACAGTGTATTGTGATAGTCTAAGTGCGATTTGCTTAGCTAAAGATCAAGTACACCATGATCGGACGAAGCACATTGATGTCAGGTATCATTTCTTACGTACTGACAAGAGGATTAAGGTGAAGAAGATTGGGACTGCTGACAACCCGGCTGATTTCTTCACTAAGCCTGTTCCGTTTAGCAAGTTTAAACATTGCTTAGACTTGCTAAATATTGATTACTACGTGATGTAGTAGGCCCTGAGGGGCGAAGTTGGGGAGCTCCTGGTGTAGGTGTGTTGGCATTAAGGTGGAGCTTGCCCGGGGCTTGTGATGCAGGTGGAGCATTATGAGTTGTTATACTTGGAGACGAGTATGTGA